CTCTCTCTCTCTCTCTCTCTCTCTCTCTCTCTCTCTCTCTCTCTCTCTCTCTCTCTCTCTCTCTCTCTCCATGTAACGTATGTTGTTGACCCCTTTCCTGATTTAGACGACTACTGCAGACCCCTTGGCCAGACCACTCGGCGGCATGCAGTGCAATGTATGAGCCGTCGTCTTCCTGTCCACCATAGCCTAGGAGCTCAAGCGACGCCAGGCAGCAATCCTGTTCAGAAGGCTGCATCATCCTGCGTGGTCTGTATTGAAGATGAACAATTCCAACTTCCGGAGAAGCATACATGTTTATGACAGTGGATGTTCAAATAGTGTCTTTAGGTATATTTTGGAGTTTTGATGTATCACTCCTATTTGTTGATGCGGGATTTTTTTGCTTTAAAAACAACAATAACAATAATAAAGCATTAGCATTTAAATTTTAAAGTTTAAACCAAAATCTAGTATCTTAGCCTCTGAATTCATTCGTGTTCATTATTTTGTTCCAAATTCCAATCAAGATTCCATAAGGATTTCTTTTAAGCAGTAGTTTGCAAATTTTTATTTTCACTTTTTTTCAACAACACGTTCGATCATATTGCAAAAGGTACATTTGAGGCGAGGTCAGGGACTTCACAATTCCACCCAGAGTTATCTCGGCAGCATCAGCTGGCTGAGCTTATGAAACGAACCAACTTTCCCCGTGCTCTCCTGCCCTAGCCTATCCCTTGTCAATGTAACCGATCCTCTGCCCTAGGTTACGCTCCAGCTGACCACCATCCACTCACTGGTACTCTTTCCTGTCCAAATCCTACGCCACCCATCCCTTCCGACCTACCCTAAACTACTCAGGTCTATCTCAACCCGACCTCGACCTACTCCGGCCGAGGGAAGCAGTTTCCTTACAGGGCTGATGCTCTCCTATCCGAACAGTGTGTCTACTGCGACCGGATCAAAGCTAAGGGCGACCGAGCACCCAGGTTGCCCACCCTGGCATCCCCCACTCTCCCTACTCTCCCTACTCTCCCTACTCTCTCCCCACTCTCTCCCTACTCCCCTACCTATCCTACCTATCCAACCACGATGAGGTAGAAAGCTTACCCTCTCTCACTTCTGCGAGGACTCCTGGAGCTGAGAACGTCTCTCCAAACCACCGCAGATCTTCCTGTATGTTTCCCTGCGGTACCCTCCTCCAGTCAGCCCGAATCTCCAGTTTCAGCAGATATTCCGGAACTGCTACCGGTAGCAATCGATATCCCCTCACTTGTCCTTTTCCGGCATGCTCTTATCCTGTCGAACTCGCAGAAAACCGAATGTCCAGAGTGCATAATTGATTGTTCGTCTTGTTAGAGCCTTTCGTGATTAACTTCAGGTAACTCCGCCTGAGCTTCAGGTCTCCGATTCCTGTCCAGCCAAATGACCCACATCATGATGGCCCGCCGACTGGGCTATGTATGCCCAGCCCTTGATTGCTGCTTTTCCTCAGTCTGTGAAGCCCTGCGGTACCCACTCTATGTTCTGATTGACTTTTCTCTCCGACATCCTCTCCCACTGTGCAAACCACCAAAGGCACCACTTCCTTGACCTGGGATAGTCCCACCACATGTGGGTCATTGTCTCGATTGGCCATGAGCACCTGTCGCACTCCAGCGTCGGGGGCATTCCTCTGGACTGATGGTGGGGACTGCCGATTGTGACTGGAGCTAAAGAAGTGAAGCAACCTTCTGGGAAGGTAAGTCTGCAAGCTGTTTCCGCAGACGAATCAGTTGGTCCTCTGTTGCTGTTGGCGGAACGGCCGCGCTGCACAGTCTCCCATTTGGGGATAAGTATTCCCAGTAGCATACTCCGCTTCATGCCTTTTTTAAGTGCTATTTCCGGCTTCAGGTTGCACAGGCCTCTTACCACCTCCCCCCTTGCCTCCCAGCCCCACATACTAGGATAAATTCTCAGTGAAGATATGCTTACTCCCTTGGCAACGAACTTATAGGCTACCGGTATGTGCCTGCGTCTTGTCGCCCTCTGCCGGACTCTGACTTCCTGGAGTCTCCCCAAACCCCTTCGAACAGCTGTTTGGGTTTGTTGCAGAGTCGGTTCCACCGGATCTCTTCTGATAAATTCTTTCATGTGGCAATTCCCGCTCCCCTCCTCTTCCCACTCCTGCAGCTGATAGAATCTGCCTGTTTCCCCCTCTGCTGTTCCCCGTAGCCATGTGCCCGGGGTGTTGACACCCTCCGGTCATCATACGTTTCCAGTCTGTAGGGATCGCTTGAAGCAGCATGCTACTCAGTCTCTCGTCTTGGTCTGGCAGCCTGCCCAGTTTCGTCTTTGGATGCCCCGGAGTTTGCCACTGATTCGTCAATTCGTCCCACAGGTTGGTTCCCTATGGTGGCCACAAACCTCTGTACCCATTACCGGTTGAATGCTCCCAGGCCTGGAGGCTGCAGAGAAAAAAAGGAAGAAAGTTCAAGGAACGTCGTTGTTGTCCACAAGCAGGTAGTTCTCAAACAATGGTTGGGCTTTGACTTTCTCCTTGGACCTTGGGGGTTCCCTGACATTAGGCTTCACTTGCTTCCAGGCTTGGATTACATTCCTCCAAAAGGTTGAGTTGATTCTCTTGTTAGTGAAGGAGTCCATCATAACTGCCACCCAAACATCTGACGGGCGGTTCAATCGTCATTCTTGCGTAAGAATGTGCTCCACCTTCCTGCACCAATCAGGGGGCTCTAACAACACCGCCACCTTGGTCAGCCAGCTGGCGAGCTATACCGAGTTCTGCACACCTGGATCCATAATGCCCAACCCCCAAAAAAATTTATATCTAAATTAAATAAATACGGTAAAATAAATTAAATCATAAATATAGTTTTTTTTTTTTCTTTTTTTGCAACCCCGGGAGTTGTCCTGGCAGCATTAGCCAGTATAGAATAATATTTTTATGAAATTATAATCTCCACGGAGTCATCCTGGCAGCATTAGCCTGTTTAGTATAGAATTCATATGAAGTAATAATCTTAAAAATAGAAATAATGCAACATCATATGAAGTAATAATCTTAAAAATAGAAATAATGCAACATCAAATAAATAAAAGTATCAATAGTCTTTTATATTTGATAAAATAAAATAATCTCAAAACAACATAAGTTTTTTATATTTGACAAATGAAATTTGATGATTAATTTGTTAATAATACTCTATGTTTAAATTTTGGACCTGACATAAACAACGATCATTTGTATCAACGGTCTTTGTTTTACATGATCAGTTTAGTAAATACAAGTACAAAGCGTATGGTAGACATAGGTCGGATTGGCAGAGACTTCATGATGACCTGTGGAGAGTAACAAAATTCTTCAAAGTTAATTTACGGCTACTAGTTTAGTTTTCTACCGCACATGAGATATTAAAATTGCAAAGGAGCAATTCATTTGGTAATCTGTTGTCGTTTTTTTAATTAGGAAGAAAGTCATGCGGAAGTTTCGATTGAAGCAAACCCTGAAATGTATAAGGTTCAAAGGCGACACCAAACGTGGGAAATTGAAGAAAACATAACTAACTGTTTTGATTCTATAGATCACAAGGTTATCATGAAAAGTATCAAAATAGAGATTGTCTGTGAGAAATTTATAGCGTTGTTGAAAAGGTCACTTAAAGCTCCACTTTTTGAATTGTATGGAATCTACGGATTGAGTAAACTTTGTACATCAATTTTTGTTTACTAATATTTAATTGAACAACAATGTTCCACTCTATTGAATCAATCAATTACGAATATATATATATATATATATACAGAGTTGCCAGGCCGAACGAACGGAGGCCCCTAAGCTGAACCCCGAACGTTCGGGCGTTCGGGTCCCCGTACGGTGCCCGAACTCGAAGGGGTTCGGACCCCGCAGAAAAACTATTTTGATACCTAACAATTATTTTTTTTTTCTGATTTTTTTTTTGTGAGTTCTCTGTTATGTAAGCTACCTGTCTCTCAATTTTGAAGTCATTCTGTCGAGCCAAACAATAATGAAAAATCGGCCAACATGGTGGTGTCAAAACTTGCTTTCCCACTTACTAATTTGTTTTTTTTTTCTCTTTTCACTTTTTGTTTTCCCTTTATTTCGGGGCCTGAAAAAAAATATTATTTTTTCAAACTTTATTTGTAGGTTCTCTATTATGTAAGATACATATGTATAAAATTTCATGGCATTTGACAAAGCCAAAAAAAAATGAAAAATCGCCAAAGATGGTGGTGTCAAAAACTTGCTCGCCCACGCAATAATGTCATTCTCGTTTTATTTTTTCTTATTTTCATTAATATTATTTATTTTTCGTATTTGATATTTATTTCAAATCTGGTAAGAAATTTGGATGTACTGTTGAGGCAAATGTTGTTAATTTTATTCTTCTGCATGACAATGTTTTTTTTCAGAATTTTTGGGAACTTTTTTTTTTTTTTTTTNTTTTTTTTGGTTCCACGTTCGGCCGAACGTCCGAACGCGTCGAGAGGGGGTCCCAAACGTTCGGGCGTTCGGGTTCGGGCGTTCGGGTTCGGGCGTTCGGCCCGTCCCGAACGCCGGCAACCCTGT